CCAAATTAACCAAGTCGGGGCATCTGCAGAGTGTGGATGGGTATCTGTTTGTTTTCTCTCCTCTGGGGTTTTTTCAGCCTAGTGCTTAAGAACAAAATCTCCTTTGGAAATTGTCCAGCACCCAGCAGTTGTGCTTTGTGTTGCCAATTAAGACTTCGATTGGGGGCTTGATTTGGAATCCTTGGGAAAAGCTTTGTTTCCATTAGTCAAAGGAAAAAAGGCAGAAAATCCGGGGAAGACATTGTAGGTCATACCTTGCTCAGTGGGGATGCTGAAGCTGACAATAGAATAACATTTCCACTGGCTCAAAACAGAGACAATCACTCATTCTTTCTGCTCCTAAGTAGAGTTTTACAATAGGGCAGAGCTGTGAGAAGAGAGATCAAAAGAACTAAACTGGTACAAAACAGAGCATTATTTTAAAAATGCTCTGTTCTAAGTGTAAAATAGGGTGGTAAACATCTACTGCTTCCAAATAAACAGCTGACAGTCCTTTGGAAAAATGGTTACACTTGTTAGAAAGACCCATTTGTAAATGCATCAGTTGGTGCTGGACGTGCACACAATTTCAAGAGTAGAAAAGTGAAACCTGATTTTCTGGGTTTTTTTATTATTATTATTACTTCTGATATATTTCCTTATCACTCAGATCCACTGAAACATTTTGAGTCTGTTTCTCTAGCAAAATAGAGATAGAATCACTCTGCCATTGAACGGAGGAAGATGAGTTGGCACCTATCCCTTTATCAGAAGTGACGCAGTCACCCCTCTGGGCTCAGGGACCTGGCTTCGCATGGTAGAAGAGAAACTTCTTCTGAAGATCCGTCAGATTCTCTGAGATCACCAGCCTTCCTCGACAATGACTTGGTTTCTGCCACAAAGATACAGTGGAAGAGAGGGAGATGAGAGCATTTTGTAATTACTGAAGTGAGCGATCTGCGAGAATTGTGACTTGCAGGGGCGCCCGGGGGGCTCAGTTGGTTAAGCATCTGCCTTCAGCTCAGGTCATGATCTCAGGGTGCTGGGATCGAGCCCCGTGTCGGGCTCCACATCAAGCCTTCCTGCCCAGCAAGGAGTCTGCTTCTCCCCCTCACTCTCCCTCTGTGCTCTCCCTCCCTCTCCCTTTCTCTCTTTCTCTCTCAAATAAATATAATCTTAAAAAAAAAAAAAAAGGAATTGTAACTTGCAGGACAAATGCCAGATTGGTCCTCGTCCCATGTTGACTCACCAGTGCTCAGCCCAGCACCCAGTGTACAGTCACTGCCTCATAAGTATTTGTAGAGTGGATAATTGTTCTAATCAAGCATCATCACCCCAGCTGTCATGATAGACGACATCATCAGAAGATCCCTGGTGGTACACCCAAGGGCTACCTGTCTGGTTTCTGTTTTGTTTTTGTTCGTTTTTTGTTTTTTTTTTTTACTGTAAATGTTTGGGATCTTCTTGCACAACTTTGGAACCAATCCTTGATTCCAAATCACATAATGAGAGAAAGACATAATTGTAGCTTGTTATGCTTAGAGTTACTATCTAACCATAAGAAGAAGGCTTGCCACCAGTCACCCTTGCATAAACTTCTATGAAGTCTAAAATTTAGTTTAAGTTGGCAAAAACCATCGAATGGGTATGGAATGAAATGTAAAGAACCACTGTATTTTCAGAACTTAGAAGGTTTTTGGTTTGGGAGTGGGGGTAGAGACCAGAAGGGAAAAGAAGAAATGATGGTATCCATGCATTTCTACACCAAAAATATTTTACTTGCTTTAAGCACTAAAAAATGTACTCCATTACTATACAGTCTCTCACAAGCCAGTTCTTCTACCACTTTCAAAATGAAGAGCAGAATTTTCCCCTTGCTGTCCAGAGGGAACGTAACTTCTTTGATATTCCCTGCTGGTTATTGAAGGAGGCTTCTCACAGTGAGTATACTCCTTCTGGCTGCCCTTGATGCTGTGAATGTCTGTTCTTCCAGCTTTATTTGCTGTCCTTCACTTGGAGTCCTGGTAAATCCTCTTTAATTCATAAGAGCTCTTGGCTCTCAAAAGGAAATATCTTGTTTTTTCTATGTATACAATAGTGGATTTTTTTTAAAGCTTCACATTTTAATGCAAATGGGCAGATGACAAATATCTGGGAATAGCTGTGATGAATTATATCCAAGTCTGTATATGCAGACGGAAGTGTTTTCCATTTTGATGTGTGGTGTGTGTTCTGTTATTTATTGAAACTTACCAAAATGTTTTTCCCACGCTTTTGTTGTTACCCTCGGTTTCTTCCGCTTTGTCTCCGTGGCTCTCACGCGTAGACCAAACAGGTCTGTGAGTCTTCTGAAGGCATGCAGACCGAGTAGATGGACTCGCAGGTGAGGGGTCCTTAGACTTATTTCACAGCTCAGGAGCGTGAGGTCCCGTGAACACCGCAGCATAGCGATCTTCAGTGTCTCCTGTTGGTCCAGCCTCAAATCCTATAACCATGTTAATTATTGACGTTTGCTGGACTTTGAGATGTTCAGCAGGCCCTCAACCCCGTGTACATGGGTGTTCTTATGAGCCGTACGCAGTCCTGAGTAGGAAGCCCAGCAGAGAGCACGAGGAGCAAAGTAATCCCAGACGAACTGCTGCATCCCCGAATCTGTGTTCTCATCTGTCAGGGGGATCATGCTGCCTTTGCAGGGGACTAGATTAAATCACATACGCCAGTTGTGAAGTTCTTAGCATATGTGGCCCATCACTGCCACTTGCCAGTTCCGTGTCTCCATCACCGGTGTCCCCTGGTAGCTCTTCTAGCCGCCAAGCTCAGCGTTACTAGAAAATCGGTTAATGTGTGCTGTAATTGATGAATAGCCATGACTTTTCCAGATCTGTAAGAGTGTTTTATACCAGTCTTTAAGTTGCCATGAACTTGCCATGAACTCCCCTAGGGACGCCATGTGGGTGACGCTCCGGGCCGGTGGCTGCTGTTACTCTCCCAGGGGGCCACCAGGGCTAGGCAGCACGCCTCCGAGCCCCATGCTAGATGCTTGGCAGAGAAAGATCCCGTGAAATTAAATCAGCTCGGTGTTTCTCGTCTCTGGAAGGAATTGAACTTGAAGCAGAAAGGTTTCTATAATTTTTAGACCTCAGTCCCAAATTTCAGAAATGCAGTGCTCTCCTAAGATCTGTAATTTCCTTGTCCCCAAATTGAGTGTTCTAAAAACGCACGTTTTGACCTTAAGGCATGCCTGTTCAGATCCCAGTTGTAAGATTCTGGTGCTGTAAATCCAAAGCTTCCTCAGTTAGCCAAAAAGCCTGTACAGAAAGCCTATTCATGTCATCACGGTTATGGTCACGTTATTTATATTTGCTCACCCAGAGAGCGAGATGTTTTCAGAAGCTGATACGCCATGCAGGTTTTAAAAACATGCTAAGAGATTCTTTGCTGAGTGATGGGCGGTTCCGAAGGGAAAGGGACTGAAGCTGGCCTGAAGGAAGGGGGCGAGGACAGAGGAGGAAGAGTGGGTGGGGGGCTACCGAGAAGCCCCAGTGCGCGGCTGGGCTGTGTCACTGGGGGGAGGGGGGGTCGGACCTTCCCCCTAGGAGTGTAGCCTTGGTCTCGAGTCCCTCGGCTCCCACGTCCCCCGGCTGAAATGTGGTCTGATCTGCCAGCCTCCCTGGGCCCGTGCTCTCAGCAGCCACGTGGCACTTCTGTCTTGTCCTCATCTCCACCTGCAGCCCCAGCGCCACCTGCACCCCACTTCCTCCCACCTTCGGCCCCTCTCTCCCGGCTTCCTCCTCCCCACCTCTCCAGCCTTCTCTGCTGCCTGGCTCGCACGCCTGCCCCGGGCAGGCCCCCCACCCAGAGCCCCAGCGTGGGCCTGTCACCGCCAGCCAGCCCTCTCCTGTCTTACAGAGCAGGTGCTGTGTTAGAGTACCTCATGTCTCTTCCTGTGACAGGCTCACAGCGTGATAGTCCCCTTTATGACTCACTTATTTCAGCCTTTTTCACTGAGTAAGGATCAAGCTTCTTTACCGGGCTCTCGAAGTATGTAAAAATGATCCATTAGATAGGGTCCCAGGGAACGTGTGGCCTAGTGGTGAGGAAATGAACGCCGCAGGGATGCCTGTGATACACGTAGGTGCTCCAGGAGCGTCCCGTTGTACCCGCCGCCGTGTCCCTGCCTGAGACAGCCTTCACGCCGCACGGGCCTGCCTTTTCCCTAGAACATCTCTTCCCGACTGTGTAATGACAGCACATTCAAGCCATTCATTTCATCTCTCCCAGAAATTCACAGTCTTCAGGCAGTCTCCCCAGACATCACCCCCAGGCCCCCCACCAGTCTAGTTCCCCCTGCTTATACTTGCGTGGGCGCTACCTCCAAACTAAGGCATCTTGCGCGGGGTGGGGTGTTTCTGTCCTTACCGGGGGCGTTCTGTTCGCATCCGTCCTGCGTGTGCCTCTAGACCAGAGCTCCGCCACACCCGTGCTGTTGACTTCGGGGGCTGGGTTGCTCTTCGTCATGGGGTTGTCCTGGGGGTTGCAGGATGTTTCCCAGCATCCCTGGCCTCCCCACCTACTGGATGCCAGTAGCCGCCCTCTCCCCCTAGCTGTGACCATCAAAAGTGGCTCCAGACATCGCCAAGTGTCCTCTGGGGGTGTCACCCCTGGTTGAGCGCCCCTGGCTGAGACTGCTCTGGGGCAGGCGACTTCCTGCGAAGCCGCTGGAGTGCTCTCACAGAGGGCTGTTGGGATCTTCCCTTTCAGTTTCTGCCGTGACACTGAACTGTGTACCAGTTGCCCCCGTTCCAAAGGCAGTGAGCAGAGCCATTGATCCCCAGTGACATTCTGCAGTGAGGAATACATACAGACATGCTCACACACACGTAGAGACATTCTGCAGTTAGGAGCCAAGCTCTTAAATGTCCACGTGGAAGTAGGATGTTCTATGTAATATATTTTTATACTCGGCAATAAAATAAAATTGCCCTGTTAAGAATTTCATTGTCCTTTACTTCTCGCTGTAGTACCATCAAGAGGACCAGCTCCTCCGAGCGAGTGTCTCCTGGCGGCCGAAGGGAAAGCTATGGGGATTCCAAAGGAAACCGAAACCGCACGGGGTCCACAAGTAGTTCTTCCAGTGGCAAGAAGAACAGTGAGAGGTAAGGGGCATCTTCTCTGCTGGTCCTGCTGTCCAGATGTTTTGTTACCCCTTTTCCCTAGAGATCCCGATAGGCACACGAGCTCCGAGCTCTCTCCAGCGGATAGACGTTCTCCTGGGAGCATTGTGGGTAGTCATCCAATGGCCGTTGGAGGCGGCCACTCGTCACAGTTCCCACCAATCACTATCCAGGTAAAAGGTGAGAACTTGAAATCCCAGCACCCCCGATGCAGACAGAAATAGTTCCTGAGAATGTGCTTAGCACCAAATCCATGGAATGGGGAGGGCCGTTCTGAATTTCCATACGGAGCACTTTATACTTCCAGTACGTTCCGCTGCCATTTTGAAATTAATTTCAGTGGGTTGTTTAACTTTGTCAACAGTACTTTTCAAGGTTGACTGGGTGAAAAGCTGAAGTTTTATCGTTTGTCAGAAACCATTTTTTAATACTGAGCTGACACCAGAAATAGGACCATTTCTTTCTGGTTTCATGAAATACGCTTACTTCTAATTTTGAATTTTCCCTTTGAGGTTAATTGCTAATGGAGTATGGTAAATACCTACACAACTAATAGTAACCTTTTATTAGGGAAAGCTGATCATTGGCGTTTTAATGACCTGTATCCCGTTTACGAATGTGTGGGGCATAGGAGACTGGTTTCTCTGGGCAGATACCCTGATGCTGTACTTTATTCTCTCTTTTTAAACATTGTGCTTTAATTTTACTCTCTCTCTACTGAGCAAGACTGAGGAAGGAATTTCAGCTTCACAGGCTAAACATGGCTTTTTTCCCCCCAAATGTTTATGTACGGAGAAGGCTTAGTCATAAAGCAATTGACTCCAACCCACAGGCTGTAAAAATTCCAGGTTTGTAAATCCACTCTGATTCAGTCCTGTAAGGACGCTTAAATTCATTTTCAGTTTTATTCCTAAAAGATATTGTCTGTAGAAAAGATGTGGGCACTTCCCCCATCTGTAGCAGGTTAGGGCCACCCACCGTCGAATAACAGCCTCAGAGACCACTGACATGGGCTTCCGTCTTCTAATTTAGACTGTTAGTACTTCTTATCAGAAGATTATGCTAATTGGACGATAATACCTTAGAAAGAAGGCCACGTGGCTTACATTGGCAGTAGAGTGTAAATGGGTCATGCCGCGGGGCCTTCAGGCTTCTCTGAATTTAGGGTAAGCTTGGAAGTTGGCCTGAAAGGTCTAGATCTTGGCAGGTCTTAAAAACTTGGCTCCTTCTGTGCACATCTGATTTTTATTAAGAATTTCCAAAAAGAATCTGCATTGTGCAAACTCCAGATCTGTTTTATCTTTCAAACCCTGTGGCGTTGATAAATGCACTGGGTAAATATTTCCATAAAAGATATTTGCAAAAGGTTTTGTTTGGTTTTGTTTTGTTTTTAATGCCACGGTAGGAAATTTTGATTTGGAAATAAAGGGTAGGGAAAATCTACTCATTTCCTAAAAATAACTCAAGCAACTAAACGTGTCCATTTACAAGTGAATCCCTTGTTTTGTTCCGACCCAGGAAAAGTTGAGGTCTGCGTACCGTTGGAAAGGTTGAGTGGCACACACCTGAGAAAGAAAGTTCTTGCCTTCTTGCCGGTAATTGCTGGTACTGGCAGATACCTTTAGGGGCCCGTGGGAATAATAGCCCAGTAACCGAGACAGGAAGAAGCAGCCCCAAGAAGCAATAGCAGTGAAGGTCAAGCTGGTGATTCAGTCTCTGCCTGACTCTTTCCTTCCTTCTTCCTCTCCCTTCCCCCATGACCAGCCCCCCTCCTGAGCTCTGTTGATCTGGCTCCAAAGCAAAGCTGGAGTCCCAAGAACCGATGCCCGGTGGCCGAGACTTAAAGCGTGCAGAGAAAGGTGTAGGGAGGTGACCTGAAATAACCCTCTTTGAAACACCATGGTCTTTAGTAATCTAAGATGGTGTGATCTCTTCCTTATCACTCCAGTGTCTGTCCTTCCATGGTCCCAGGGTGCTGTCCTACATTTTCAGGGCTTGTCGTGTTCGGTTACTGGGGGCGGCAAGACCAAGTGCAAAGGGCGTGCGGGCTCCGGAGTAAAAGAAAGGTCTGGGTTTGTGAACCAGGAGGTTCTCCGAGCCTCAGCTTTTGCCTCGGTGCACGAGGGGTGGCACACCCGATCGCCTTGAATCTTATCATCGAACTGACTGGGAGGAGAACCCCCAGCCCAAGGCTTGGCACCTGGTCCTGGGCATCACGGTGGTGGCAGGTGTGAGAGAACGAGACCTGAGCAGAGCACAGGACAGTAAGTGACGAGGCTTTCCCAAACCGGTTGCTTTCTTTCGCTCGCTTGTAAAATAAGGGGCTTACAGGGTGGCAGACGTGACTAGTCTCGTTTCTGGTCTGACACACATTCACTGATGTTCGTGTACGTGACACAGTCCCAGGAGTGCAACCTGAGTTCTGGCAAGATCTAGAAGTGCTCGGGGCGGGGGGCGGTGGGGGGAAGGAAGGGTGACACGTCTGCATGGTTGTCCGCATCACACCAGAGTGAGCAGGGCTGCAGGTGAGCTGGCCAGAATGCAAGGGAGGGCGAGAGCACAGGGGTGACTCTGGATGGGTCCCGCTTCGTGCAGGAGGCACATGGTGCACCCACCCCGGGGCTGTAACTTGGGAGAAGCAGACCCTTGGCTCCGGAGCTCACGTTACCGCACACCATATGCAGAGCTATCTTCAGTGCATGTGGAACTCTTACGAAAATTGGAAAGAGCCTCCTCTCGCTCCAGAAAAACAATCCCACGTCAGCATATATAGTTCTTAATAATAATTACAGCAAATATAAATGACTCCATATACATTGTCTAAATCTTCGTGTCGAACATAAAATAATAGTGTTTTTGAGGTCCTCAACATTCCCATTTTCTGAGATAGACCAATTTACTTAGAGATAATGGTATGTTTTGCTTTCATAGAAACCATATTCTTTTATGAGTCTCAATGTTCCTGCACCTACATCTCATTTTCTCTGGAAATGGCCACTGGATTTGATGGTCGTTCTTGTGACATTGTAGATTTTTGTCTTAGAGTGCTTAACACCTTAAAATGCTCTGCTTAGAACAACAGTACTTAATCTTTACACTGACAAAACTTCTATAAAAACAAAAACAATATATGGCAATGTAATATTTACTCTATGTATTATTGATGATAAATATTAAGTTATATAGTGATTTGTGTCATAAGGAAGTACTTATTAAATTTAGGAAATCAACAGTAACATTCTGATGAATGACCTGTGTTATCTAATATAGCCACTGTACTAACCCAATAGGGATTTTTTTTTAATTAAAAAAAAAGTGTTCTGTATCAGACAGAAAAACAGCTACTACTTAGAATGCAGTTTAATGTTAGATGTTGCTAGAATGATTAAGTGTTTCAATTAGAAAACTGGCCCCCTCTTTGTAAATTCTGACTGGAGAGACATATATCAGTTTTGTAAACTAGATACTTTGTTTCCATCAAAAAGTTGTTGTAATGGGCTCATTTTGTTAGAACAAGAAATGTTTCAGCTGGAAACCTTGTAGGAACACTTACTAATAAAAAAAAAAACACACATTTAAACTCTCCATCTTTAGAGTCAACAAAAGTGAAAAGACACTTCAAAATAGCAAAGATGTGCAAATGTCCCCTTAGAGGCTCTTTTGTGTTGAACCACCTGAATGCCGGTGCCAGCCGTTTTATCCAGACTGCAGGGTCCAGAAGCCTGAGCTGGAGACCCTGAGCTCCCTCCTTCCTAAAGCTCTAGTGTTCAATGAAATAGTTTTTTCAGTGACACCTCGAGGTCCTCAGGGTTCAAATTTGTTCTTTTACTTCAGCATCACTGAGAGTGCAATCTGAATCTTAATCCTCAGCCTGGGTGCGAGGCCCCTCATCTGCCGGCTCTCCATCCTCTCTTGGGCCCTGATATTCATGCCTCCCTAACACCAGCTCTCACTTGTCCCCAGCAAGAATTTTTTCTTTGCGATAATTGATTTATTACACAAGTAACATGTGTGCCCCAGTGATCAAACCCAGTCTTAAATGTGAATCTAAGTAAGAACATAGTGTATTTGGAAAAACCTTTATTGTATAGGGGCGCCTGGGTGGCTCAGCCGGTTAAGCATCTGACTCTTGATTTCGGCTCAGGTCATGATCTCATGGGTCGAGAGATCAAGCCCTGTGTCGGGCTCCACACTGAGTGCAGAGTCTGCTTGTCCCTGTCCCTCTCCCTCTGGACCTCCCCCCACTCTCTCTCTCTCTCTCTCAAATAAATAAATAAATAAATAAATAAATAAATAAAATCTTCAAAAAAAATCTTTATTGTATTATAAAACACACGTAAAAAAAAAAAAAAGGAAAAAACCCCACACAAACAAATATATAGCTTAATGAATAAGCACTTAGCAAATGGAGGGTTTTCACCTTCTAACCTGAGTGACGTGTCTATGTCTGGAGATTTGGCGGGGGTCGATGGTTGGGTACATTTGGAGGAACTCCAGCGGATCCTTCAGGACCCACTCAGGATGCCCCCTTCTCTGGGAAGCCTGCCCTGGCTCTTTGGTCTGAGTCAGTTGCCTTTCTGATTGCTCTGTACCTGCTCGTTCGCTTGATCTGGAACTCCCTCCCCATGCCCACGCACGCCCCTTGCCCTCCCTGTAGCTTTGGGAAGGCAGAAGCTGTCCCTTATTATTCTTGGTATCACTAGCACCTCACACAGGGCCTGCCACATAGTAACTGCTCAATAAGTATTTGTGGCATGAAAGAAAGAATATATATTTAATTTAAAAAACCAAACCCAAAACCATAGTCATTTAAGAACTGTGTCAACAGCACCACCTATTGGTAGGTAGGTTTGACACTACACTTCAGATTCTGAAACCTTTTGCACTGGAGATGAGATGGCTTAAGTTAAGCATCTTCCCTTTACAGAAAGGGTGGTTCACTCTCCAAGCCATGGAGTCATTTATCTTTTAATAAGTGTTAA